GCTGAGCGCACGCCAGGTCAGGGCGCGGACCCCGCCTTTGGCAGCTCAGTGCCTCCCGGGACCTCGTGGGTGCACTTGAAAGGCCCGCGGAGCGGAACCAAGCCGGAGGAAGAAGGACTGACTTCCTGCCTCCCGAACCAGCTGGAACAGCTCGGAGCAAACAGCCCCACCGCAAGCCGGCCGGCCGGCGCCTGCGCAGGGCGCGCCAGGCCCGCTTCTCAGACCCGGGAACAGGCAGATGACTTGTCTCCTTGCTTCCCCACGGCTCCGCCTGTCACCTGGAGAACGGTTTCCCTTTTTCTCCCTCCCTGAATAAGAGGAGAGAATTCTTGAAGCACCTTTGCTGGTCTTGTCCGAGCTACTTTTAAAGGAACATTAACTCGTGAGCAAGGCTGGCACTTTTAAGCCCATTAACGCTGGAAACACACGACTGCAGCCCTGGCCGTCCCGGAAGCCATGCCCTGCCGGCAGGGCTGGTTTTTCCCTTCTGTTCTGGGGCTGCCCTAGTGCTCAGCTCACAAGATTGTAAGGATTAAATGGGAACAATGTGTGTAAACTTCTTCCACATTTCTCTCTTCTGGATTAGGCATCACCATCTTCACTGAGCCGTCTAGGACACTGAGGCTCAGAAAGGTTAAGTAGCTTGCTCAGAGTCACACAGCGGGTAAAGCGCTGAAGAGATGCACCTCATCCAGCTGTGGCCCGGTCTCTCTGTGACTGAGATCCATCTGTGGTTCCTTGAGCGGCCAGCAATTCGACATCTGCCTGTCTTACATATGCAGCTCTCCTTGTTCTGAAGGCCCTTCTTTTCTTTATCTGAAAAACTGCGTGTTCCTCAAAGCCCAGGGCAAACATCTCCTCCTCGGTGAGGCCCCGTGGCAGTCCCTCCTTTAAGCTACCTCGGCACCTCACACTTAGGTTATGGCATCGTCAGTCCCCTCCGTGGGGGGACACTTCCCCATCCCCGGGCCCAGCACCCAGCATGTGTCCTCGCGGTGAGGGTTCAGCTCAGCCTGCTGGTGGACCCCAGGGAAGAGGCAGTGTGGCAGAAAGCTGTGCTCTGGAGACAGACTGCAGCCTCACCCTTAGCTCTACTGATAGCGGCCACTCGCCTTTCTTCCCCGAGCCCCGCCTTCCTGTTCTGCAAATGGGAATCTAACCCTTGCCTTTGCAAGGCTGTTGGGAAAATTACAGGAGGGCAAAGCCCGCAGTCCAGGGCTGCACGCGTAGTAAGTGCTCAAGAAACACTCCCTCCCTTCCGTCCCTCTCCTGTGACACCCCTCGCTGTGCACAGCCAGGACAGGGGTATCCCTCATACATGTCTCTCCCCACGAGCACCACGCACAAGCCAGCCAAGATGTGTTTCGTGACTGAGCCTCCCCGCAGCCCTGTCAGAGAGGCAGGGATTTGTGTGCACCCATTTTACAAATGAAGAAACTGAGGCCCTGAGGAGAAAATGACCTACCCAAGGTCAGAGAGCCAAGGGGCCACAGAACTAGCCCCAGAACCCAAACTCCTTGAGCTGATTTCAATTCCATGACATTGTTTCTCTGGCCTCATAGGGACACACTCTGCCAGGACAGCGTTCCCCAACCAGCGCCCTCTGCCACCACGGCAATAAGGAGACTTAGAGAGAAGGGTCTAAGGTTAAAGAAAGAATGACTGTAATAACAAAAAACAAACAACCCAATCCACAAATGGGCAGAAGACCTAAGAAACAGTCCTCCAGTGAAGACATACAGATGACCAAAAGGCACATGAAAAAGTGTTCAGTTTCGCTATCAGAGAAATGCAAGTCAGAGCTACAATGAGGTATCACCTCACACCAGTCAGAATGGCCATCATTCACAAGTCCACAAACAATGGATGCTGAAGGGGGTGTGGAGAAAAGGGAGCCCTCCTACACTGCTGATGGAATGCAATCTGGTGCAGCCACTGTGGAAAACAGTATGGAGATTCCTTTAAAAACCAGAACTAGACTTACCATATGATCCAGCAATCCCACTCCTGGGCACATACCTGGAGGGAACTTTAATTTGAAAAGACACATGCACCCCAATGCTCACAGCAGCACTATTTACAGTAGCCAAGACATGGAAACAAACTGCATGTCCATCAACAGATGACTGGACAAAGAAGCTGTGGTATGTTTACACAATGGAATACTACTCAGCCATAAAAATAATAAAATAATGCCATTTGCAGAAACATGGATGGACTTGGATATTGTCATTCTAAGTGAAGTAAGCCAGAAAGAGAAGGACAAATACTATATGATATCACTTACATATAGAATCTGACAAAAATGAGACAAACTTTTTACAAAACAGAAATAGACTCACAGACATAGAAAACAAACTTGTGGTTACCACAAGGGAAAGGGGGGTTGGAGGAATAAACTGGGAGTTTGAGATTTGCAGATACACACTACTATATATAAAACAGATAAACAACAAGGCCCTACTGTATAGCACAGGGAACTAGATTCAATACCTTGTAATTGCTATAATGAAAAAGAACATGAAAGGGAATACATATGTGTATAAGTGAATCACTATGTTATAAACCAGAGATTAACAAAACGTTGTAGACTAACTGTACTTCAAGTACAACAAACAAACAAACAAAACCGCAAAAGAACAAATGAACAAAACTCCTCCACCATCTCGGTGTTGAATTCTCTTTCTCCACTGTCGGGGGGAGGGTGCAGCACGTGGGCTCTTGCATCAGCCAGCCCTGGCACTGCACCCCGGCTCTGCCGGAGGTTAACTGGGGGATGCGTACACAGTGACAAGTGACAGCCTCGGGAGTTTCCCGAGCTCAGCGATGTAGCCAGCAAGAACCACGGCCACAGCAACAGCACTGGTCGAGCTGGTCCGAAAGCCTAATGTGCCGGGGCTTCACTCCCCTTTGACAGGTGAGGAAACCGAGGCACAGCGAGGGTAGGTAGCTGCCCGGATCTGCAGCTGTGGGAAGCGCAGGCTGCCGGGCTGCAGAGCTGCTTTGATTTTTTTTCGGGAAGGGCTAGAGTTTTGAGGAAGAGTCAAACCCTTGCTGGATGAGTAGCGCTCCTCCTTCATCCAGAGTTAACACCAGCCTCCTCGGAGGCACGAGAATCCAGGCAGCTCTAGCGAGCAGTGCGGCCTCAGCGAGCGGCGGCGGCCGGGAGGTGCGCTACCCACGGTGGCGCGAAGCAGCAAGCTCGGGCCTGGCGGGCCTGGGCTTTGGTCCCGGATCTGGGACCAGCTCTGAGGCCTGGCCGCTTAGCTCTCAGGCAATTCTGCATTAGTAGGAGACCCCCTTCCACCCGCCCCCCCTTCTCCAAGCCCTTCACCCCCCGCCTGGCTCTTGCCAGCGCCTTGCCAGCGCTCATCCCTCTCTGTCTACCTCCAGGCCGCTCTGCCGTCTCTGCCAGGGCTGCCCCCTCCGCCAGTGCCGCCGCGGCCCAGGGAGTCAGCATCCTGCCTCGACCGAGCCCGGACGCCGTGCCAGCGCTCACGTGCGTGCACGCCCGCCGTACCTGCTCCCGGAAGCAGAGCCCGGTGCTCCCGGGGGGGGGCAGTGCTTCCCAAGGGCAGCCTCCCAGGGATGCTCCCGGGGGGGGCAGTGCTTCCCAAGGGCAGCCTCCCAGGGAGCACCTGCGGGGTGGGGGTCTGACAGGGAGGGCGGGCACCCCCACGACAGGGGTGTGGGATGGAGTGTGGCCCCCATCTCAGCCGCACCGTCCAGGGACCCCGGAGCTGGGGACATTCCCCCCTCCCGTGAACTGCTGCGTGACAGCTGCTCCCGGATGCTGGCTCCCGGCTGTCCCAGCCCGTGTGCCCGGGCAGGACAGGCCTTGGAGGCCACAGGGAGCCCGTAGTCGAGGGATTCTGATGGCGGCGGCTGGAAGCTGGCAGGGCTGCGTGCTGACAGCACCTGCTACGGCAGGGGGCCTCACACCGGAAGGGGCATCGGCACCCCTCCAGGGCTTGATAAAACCCGGATTCCTGGGCCCGCTCCTGGAGTTTCTGCTTCCGGAGGTCTGAGCTGCTGCCCGAGAACGTGCATGTGTAGCAAGTTCCCGGGGCGCACGCAGCACCCCGAGAAAAGCGCAAGTGCCCGCACCTGGTCCTTAAGGCCCTCCGCCGTCTCTCCAGATGCACTTGCCGTGTTGCCCCCCAGGCCCCCATGCAGATGCTGATGGGGCTCCCCACTGTCTCTGCAGACTGCGCTGTGTCCCCGGCCCCCAGACCTTGCTCACTCTGTCCTCCCCCGGAGTCGCCTCTCTCTGCCACTTCTGCCTGCAGGGTCGGCAGCCACCTTTAACTTCAGCGCCTCGTCTCTTCTGTTTAGCCCTCTGCATCGTCCCAACCACTCTCTCTCGTAACCCCTTATCTGTGCCTCTCTAACTGCCCTTAGGACTGTCTGCCTTGCATCTCAAGGAGTTGAGTCCTTATTTTATCTTAACAACAACCTACAAACCACTTTGTCAAAGAAGGTCTCTTGATTTTCACAACCACTGTAGGAGACAGGGAAGTTGGGGGCTACTACCAGCTCTGTTTAGACGACGAAGTTCAGAGAGGCCAAGTAACCAGCCCAAGGCCAGCTGGGCTTGAACTGGGGTCTTCCAGGTGGCAAGTCTGCAGTCCGCTCTCTCTGCTGT